ATTGTAGTTTTATGTTATTGATGAAAATTTATGCCTATTTTTGTTATATCTTTAATATTAAATAAATTAAAATTTTATTTTTCCGCTACGTATAACATAATATATTTCTCAAATGTGTGTGATTATAGCTATAGCATATGAGTTTCAAGTGAGTTATTAAAATGTTGTATATAACTCTATATTCTATTTTAAATTATGAGGATTCAAAAGACGGTAAATCTTTTATATAACCCTCATATTCTTTCATGTAAAGTTATCTAAATAATATATTTTATTTACGTGTAAAATATGTGGTTGAGTTTATAAAACTCTAATTATGATATATTATACAACATCTTCTCTTTGCACCAAAACAAAATTAGTATCTCATTGTATAATCAAAGTATTTAATACTAGTGCACTCTGATAAATCTTTATTTTATTTTATAAGTGGGAGTGCATGTGTACTTAATTATATAATCTAAAATTTTTAGATTATTAATCTCATATTGTCATATATTTTTTGCACGCGTTATAAAATATGACATATTCTAAGAAGACTTCAAAATATATAATAACTCTAAGAAGTCCTATTCTATTATACTGAGATATATATTAATCTCTTAATCTTTTAATCTCAGGAAACATCATAATTTGATGTTTAAGTCGACATTAAAAAGACGCAATAGTTCTTTAGCATGCAATAATATTGTGTTATTCTATTTTCAATAGTCCACATTTGTCCGGCCATAATATAAAAGTACAAGTAAATATCAATATTCCTATCGAGTATGGTATTCTGTTATTAAGGTACTTATGATTAAATGTAATTACTCTCCTAATAGTGTATCCCTATATGTAATTACTATTCTTAGACCTATGTGGATATTCTATGGCCTATAATTTAAAGTTCATTAGTATAATCACTAACCATAGACTTATACACAAGATTAAGTCTTATGATATTTTGGGTTAGTGGAAGTTTATCAATAGCATTTTCATATGCTTGGGTCATTATTTATAACATATTACTCTTAACTTAAATATGTTACTCTAAATTCATCATTCTTTATATAAAGTTGTGAGTTTTAACATGTATAATTTGTCTTCCCCATCAGATACAATTTCTACAACGTTGAAATTTACTTCTTTGTGATTGATTAGTGTTTTGACCATTATTCATGTTCTAATATTAAAATTAATATTTTTTAATAATTAATTATTGACATCCAAGTGAGAGATTTTTAGATTAATTATTTAATTAATCAAATATGGATTAATATAATTAACTATTCCCTCTGATCCTTTTTATAAGGAACACTTCACCTTTTTAGATTCATTAAATAATTATGTATTTGGTCTGCATTATAGGCCAGATACATTAATTATTTAATGAATCTAAAAATGTGAAGTGTCTCTTATAAAAAGGACCGGAAGGAGTATTAATTAATTGTATTATGGTCTATTGTTATTAAATATTAAATATGTGAATTGTTTGATTGAGTTTTGTGGTTGAATTGACTGTGATGGGTTGGACCATTCAGTTAAACCCAATGAGAGGTCCCTGCCCTCAGCAACTGTTTAGCTATTTAAATGTCTCCCTATTAGATAATAAAAATATTCTAAAAACTCTTGTCGCTACACGAAAAATGACACAGAGTGGCCACCGAATTTTATTTATCCCAAGGAGGGAAACGGAAATAACGACAAAACCTTTGGGAAAAGAGCATGGTCATCGCAACCAAGTTTTAGGGTTCGGGAGTCGGTTATGTAAGGGGAAGGTACTAGCACCCCTCACATCCATCGTATTCGATGGGAACCTTCTAAGTTGTTTAGCTCGAATGAGTGTTTTTAATCTAAGAGTTTGCTTGCTTAAAAGAAAAGAGGGGTTAGTTTTTTATTAGTGCTCGTCAAGGATTGTGGTCCTCGTGCCTACGTATCCTCACTTAAAAGAAGTGAAGAATCAGAGCTTCGTAGTTCTGAGGCTTGTGAAATGTTTGTTTGTTGGTTGATTTTATACCTTGAAAAAAGGGTTTTCGGATTGATGCCCTAAGGCGAAAATAAGTTTGATGAGTTGATGTTTTTTAGGATTTTTGAGAAGAAATTGTTCTTGATTAGGATCACACTAAAGACTTTGGATATAGATGAATGTTTCGAATAACCAAGTCGAGCGCCTTGTATTCAAAATATTTGGAACGAGTGCAGGAGGGGTTCCATTCTCATCCCTTCTCCACCACTTTAAAGCCCATGGCGTGTAAACCTAATCGTAACTTTATTGTGTCTTTGGATTTTTTATGAGAAAAATACCACTTGATGTTAGACCAAGGGTTTTATTGCTTGTAAAAATATTTGAAGTGATGCGAACAAGGTCGATGGCGACGCACAAGTCAATCGACTTATAAGGTTGAAAATGACTCGATAAAATCGAGAGTTTATTTTTTAAAATAGTTTTTGGAACCAAAAGTAAAAAAATGATCGTAATAATATCCACATACAATGGCCCTACAACCACATCGGATTGAAAATACGAATAAAAACAAAACATGAAAAAAAAATTGAAAACTATGAAAAGTTCGTTGTGCGAAGGTGCCAGCGAATAACTCACTAGCTAAAAATAAGGGAAACTGATTGTTCAGTGGCACTTTGAGTACCACAAAATGATGTTCGCTAGGCGAGGGGATGTTCGCAGTGCGAACATGACAGCACACATGAGTATTTTTCAACTCATTTCACTACAAAAACTAAACTATGTTCTTTCTTTTCTTCTGCTTTTTTTTTACAACATAGGTCACTCTTGAGACCTCATTACAATATATACATCAACAAATGTTATCCTAACTAACAATGATAAAAAGCAACAAATAAAACAAGCATGCAAAAATATGAAAATGTAAAAGAGAAAGGTTTAGAGAGATGGATACCCCAGAACTTCTACTATCCTCCTAGCCACCAAGGTCCTTTGTTGAATGTGTCTTCCTCAGGTTTTGCTATGTGTTTCTACCTTCTTTTTTTTTCTTTTTTTTCTCTCTAAGCTCTCTTGTTGTCAATGTCACTTTTTCTCTCTCTTACTTTTCTGGTTTTCTCAATATCTCCTATTCTCAATGTGACCTCCTTTTACTCTCCAATTGGGCTCCATTTTCCTACTGCTATTGCTTCTCTTTTATAGTCAAAACATTAGGGTTTGCACATGTTTTCAAACTTCAGAATTTCTACACTTAGAAATGTCCAATGCCACTTTCTTGGCGCACCCTTTTCCTCTTCATTTCTAAAAATCCTACTTTTTCTGTTGCACTTTTGCCACTATACCAAAGTATTAGAGTTTGCACATGCTTCAAGTTTCAGAATTTCTATACTTGGAAATGCTTATTACCACTTTCTTGGTGCAACCCCATTTCTTTCCATTTCTAGCACGTTGCTTTTTCTGCTGCACTTTCCTAATGCTGTTTTTTCTGCATTGCTCTCCTTTATTCACTTGTTCTTGGGTTGTATGTGAACCAACATGAACTAGTTCCTTAAGTTTGTGACATGGTTTGTTTAGTTGTGAGTTAGTTGGTCATGGGGCTGTTTTGGATTAATTTGAAGTTTCCCATGAATAAGCATAAATGGTCTTGCTTTTGAAAGGTTCCAATGTTAAATTAACCTTGATTATTTTCCTTGGATATGTGTGGGTATAATGTGGAACATGTAGACTTGTTAGGGTATGAAGGATACCATAGCATGAATTTGATTAGAAACTTGAATTAAGATTAGAAATAGCTTAATTTCTAAGCATTAGTTTGTAACAAATGTGACATTCTTGTAATGTCATGAAATTCCCTTTGTAATATTTTAGTCTTGAATTCATGAATCTTGAATTTTGAATGATGGATTTCCCTTATACCATTATTTGAAATGGATGAAGTCTTGAATTATGAACTTGTGATCTTGACTCATGCCTTGCAAATTTGAACTCCACTTGATCAAGAATTTGAAACAAAATTAGATGAAGAAATCTTGAATTTGGCCTTGCATTTCATGTTCATTAGGAACATTGACTTTGAATACTTTAATATTTTTCAAGTGACTTTTCTTTGAAGAAATCTACATGAGTAGACTTTTCAACTTGAACCAAAACTTAGATGATGAACCTTTCTTCAATGTAATCCATGATAGGCAACTTCTCTTATTTGAAACGAACGACAATAAACTGACTCAGTCCTTACCTTGTAAACCCACATGCTCGATATGCACTAGAACGATGTATGATATGATGAATGTAGGATATGAAAGGCTAAAGGTGAAAATGAGGGTGTGACAACCCTAAGAGACAATGAGGGTAGTAATTCTCTCATACTCATACTCTCTGACGATAGTTTTTTCAATCTTGTAAGTTACACTGTTCTTATTAATTTTCATTATTTTATAATATAGTAATATGGTGTAATATTATGTATATTAATTATTTAAATTATATCAATATCTTCACTCGCCGAGTATATTTAAGAAAATTGTTTAAGTCTTTCTTTGTTTTAAAAAGAAGTTTGCTAAGAAAAATTCTCTTTTTGTATGATAGGTAACTTTAGAGTTCTCTATAAATAATGATTATCCATCCCGCATTACACATGTTTAGAGAGAGAAGGTTTATCCTCTCTCTGGAAACATAACATGTTCTCCCCTTTCCAATCCCTTTCTAGGGTTTTTGGTACGACTTTTTCTCCAAATCTATCTGGTTTTCCCTCAAGTTGGTATTTGGTTTTTTCTCCTCTCTTGTGAAAGAAGCGAGTTTATCTTGCTAGTGTTTCTCTGTGTTATTTCTCTCTCATGGTATGGATAGATGGAAGGATATCGCTTTGTCGAAGGAAGAAGAAAAAGGGGTTATGGAGGAAGCGGATGAAGTGGGTAGTGAAGAGATCTTTCAACGGACTCTAGCGGCGAAGCTCTGGTCAGACAATAGCTTCAACTCTCGAGCCTTCACAATAACGATGATTAATGGTTAGAAACTCGAGAATCAGGTGGAAACCCAAGAACTCGGTTACAAATTCATGTGGATGAATGGTAGAGGAGAAGGTGAAAATGTCAAGTGCATATTAGATAGGAGTATAGCTACGGAGAGTTTTATCAATAGATTCTCACCCATAAAAATTAATCACCTTCCCCGCTATGGTTCAGACCATGTTACGATAAGAATCGATTTGGAAGCTGATATATTTGGTCATGGGAGAAAAGAGAGGCATCTCTTCAGGTTCGAAGAAGTTTGGAGCAGGGAACCTAGATGCGAGGAATATGTGGCGCGGATGTGGAACAATGATGCAGTTAGGGGACATAGGAAGCTAGTTGTTATGCAAGGCCTTGATGATCTTTTTCAAGAGTATAGAAGAAGTATTGTCAGCAAAGATATTGGAAGAATAGAAGAGCTTATGAAGGATAAATGCATATGGGATGCGAATTTGGAAGACATCAAAGTGTATCAGGCGCTTGAGAATCAAAGGAATAATTTGCTGCAAGTTGAGGAGGTTATTTTGAGAAAAAGGAGTAGGGTTCTTTGGCTTAAACATGGTGACAAGAATAATCATTTTTTTCATGGGAAAGCTGATCAAAATAGAAAAATAAACGCAATCACGAAACTCAAAGATGACAATGGTGTTTGGTAGAGAGGGGATGATCATTGCAAAAGAATTTTGGTACATTATTTCTCTGACTTATTCTTCTTTTCCCTTCCCACTAATGTCTAGGAAAATTGTCTTGTTGTAAAAGGAAAGTTGCAACCAAATCACATCAGTTGGTGCGAAGGAAAGTTCACATCCTAGGAAGTTAAAAAAGCCCTTTTTCAAATGCATCCACTTAAAGCACCTGGACCAGATGGTCTCCCGACCCTGTTTTTCCAGAAGTTTTGGAATATTGTTGGTCCTGATGTCTGTACTCTAGTTTTGGATGTTTTAAACAACAACTCTGACCCTAGAGCGATAAACAACACCTAGATCGCTTTGATTCCTAAATGTAAACACCCCTCGAGCGCAAAGGGTTTTAGGCCAATAAGTCTTTGTAATGTGGTCATGAAGGTGATTACAAAGACTATCGTTAACAGGATTAAAAAAATTCTCCCTGACATCATTGACGAGGAGCAAAGTGCTTTCGTTCAAGGGCGCCTCATTATTGATAATTCCTTAGTGGCTATGGAGTGCTTCCATTGGATGAAAAAGAAGACAAAAGGGAAGAAAGGTGTTATGGCGCTCAAGTTGGATATGTCAAAGCTTACGATAGATTGTAGTGGCCTTTTATCATTGAAGTTCTTTCCTCGATGGGTTTTCCTCCCAGCATGGCCACTTCACCAAGAATTGCATTTCTTCAGTTTCTTACAAAGTTCTTGTCAACGGCCAACCTATCATGAGTCTTTTTCCCAAGAGGGGACTCCGACAAAGAGATCCACTATCCCCTTATCTCTTTATTTTGTGTGCTGATGTTCTTTCAGGTTTGCTGAAGAAAGAGGTTCAAAATAAGAAAATTCATGACATCCAAGTTGCTAGAAGGGCACCAATTATCTCACATTTGTTCTTTGCTGATGATAGCCTCTTTTTTGCTAGAGAAAACACTATGCCAAAAAAGACCTTTAGCAGTGCTTTTTTTGGCCTTTAGCAAGCGCTGCTAAAGGTAAAAGAAGCACTTTTTTTATGGAAAAAACACTGCTATAGGCCCACTTTTAGCAGCGCTTTTCCATAAAAGCGCTGCCTATTCTCCCCCCCCCCCCCCCCCCCCCCCTTTAGTAGCGCTTTTGGAAAGTGCTGCCTATTCCCCCCTCCCCCATATACAGCAGCGCTTTTAAAAAGCGCTGCCTATTCCCCCCCCCCCCCCCCCCTCTCTTTAGCAACGCTTTTAAAAAGCGCTGCTTATTCTCCCCCTCCCCCCCTATAGCAGTGTTTTCTTGAGCGCTCTCTTTGCCCCCCCCCCCCCCCCTTTAGCAGTGCTTTTCCATAAAAGCGTTGTCTATTCTTTACGTTTTAAAAAAAAAATCACTTTTTTATTTTTTTCAATAAACCTACTTATAACAATTACATTCCCCTGCTTATAATTCAGGCCTTTAATTCAACACTTTGGCCTTATATATATATATATATATATATATATATATATATATATATATATATATATATATATATATATATATATATATATATATATATATATATATATATATATATATATATATATATATATATATATATATATATATATATATATATATATATATATATATATATATATATATATATATACCATAATCATTTCTATTCACATAAATCTGCTTATATATAATTCAACACAAGCTGATCCTCAGAACACCTTCACAAATACAGTCAATTTATATATAATTATAAAACCGATAACTTTACAAATACATTCATTACATATATAGCGCCAAAACTACATACGAATTCCAGAAATATTATTATCCCGCATCAATATTTGACGATACATATAACTTATACAATTCTCAACTCAAGAATGTATTGACACTGTTCCTCCTTAATTTCTTCCATCCTGCTTTCGAGTAAGTACCACACTTGAATTCATCAAAGTACTACATAATATAACAGAACATGCACGATTTAGTTTTAAAACTAATTACTCAGATGAAATTTCGGTTAATTATTAAAATAAATCATATAACTTATAAATTGATCCATACCATGATTGGAATCTCTATTTGACTCGAATGAATAATTTCCTTCATAAAGCGCAATACAAAATATCCGCAATCAATCCCATTACGCTGACGAGGATACTGTAAATGGAAAAAACAAACGAACATTTATCAGGATATATAGTTTAACTAGTTTTATCAAGTAGAATCACTATAACAGTAAAAAAATGTGAAAATATATCTGCACTCTGATCCAACTAATGTTGTTAGCCTTCCTTTTTGGCATTGTTGCTTCTCTTTGTGATCAGAATATTTGTATAGCTCTAACATAATATAAACGAATATTTAGAACAATATCACATAATAAATAAAGATAATTATTCAGAACAATATATCTCATCACTTACATATCAACCATATTCTTCATATCAGGATATTTTGTTTGATCACCATCCAATGAATCCAGATAACACACTATTTCTTTCATCGGATTAATTGCAACCAACAACCAGTGTCCACTATAAAATAAGACAAAATTTTAAACGGAAATGTTATATAGAATGGCAAAAAATGAATAATTATAATAAATGAATTTAGAATGAAATCTAACCCATGGCCAGTATTATATGGCAAAAAGTACAACTTCTCTGTAGCTGCGGTCATAAATGCTTGGACTATGTAATCTATGACTACATCTGGAGTCTGATCGATTGACCGTGAGTTGATACAGCTAGCAGATAAGAATGCGAATCTTGAAGTCAAATCATGCGGGACCAACAACTTATCATACAAGAACCTTAAATAAAAACATAATCAACTGATGCCCAATAAAAACATAATCAACCGATGCCCAATAAAAACATAATCAACCTTAAATAAAAACCTTAAATAAGAACATTAGAATATCCAGTTAAATGAGCAAATAAATTATTCAATTATTTAATTAAAATTGATCGGAGTACCTGATGTAGGAATGCATAACATCGATGCCCAATTCAGAATGTTGGAAAATCTGGTCCAAATCCTCCTTAGCAATTGTTTCGGCATATTCAAAACCGAAAATACCTTCCTCCAAAGGTATTTGACGGATGCCACCCTCAGCCACATTTGTTGTTCCTATGTATGTTTCAAGGCACAACCTAAATCGAGGGACAAATACTTTTTTGACTCGGCCTTTTTTTTGTTGGGCACCTTGCTAGATTCAGGCATCTTACCCTTGCTGACTTGTTGTAACTGTTGATCATGAACCTAAAAGTCATATAAGTTCAGTAATTAATGTATAATAAGATAATCATGTAATTGTAGTAGTACCTGTTTTTTTGATGCAGCTGAATCGGTTTCCCGCACAATAATTCCCTTATCTTTTGATTTGGATTTTGTAGGAGTCTAAGATCATCATGTAAATAAGTAAATGTAAATTTAAGAATAACTTTCATGTATGGTTCGTAAAACATTTGAATACTACAAGGTTCATAATGGTGTTCAACCTACCTCATCATCTATGAAAATGAGATTTGACGGCCATGCAACATACGATCCTATTGCGTCTCCCACCACTGTTGCGTCCGAAACATCATCTGGTATAGGCAACAAAGCACCCCCCGCTAACGCAATATCAACCGATACTTTCAAAAATCCACCAGAGAGCGGTTTCTGGTGAAGTAGGTCTCCCAGAGTGTTATGCATTTTTCCCTTGCCAACCATGCGATAAGTCGGTGACGATAAATATAACCGACAAGGTGAAATGCCCTAAAAAAATAATGAATATGATTAATGTGTCAATTAAGAAAATTGTGCTAAATTAATTTTAATGTAATATATACAATTACCTCTGGAAGCTTCTGCGGACAATTGATACTATCTTTGTCACTAGTATCTTTACACTTTGGACCGCGCCTTTCTGACATGTATCTCTCTTTGTCCTTTTGTAATTCATGAATTTCAGCTTTCAATTCCTCCAACGTCTCCATCACTTATTTATTGCTAGGATTTTTATTCTTTGTCTGCTTATACAGGTTTTTTGGAGTCACACTGAATCCCTTACCCCTCACACGCCCAGAATACTCAGGAATATTTAACACTCGACTCAGTACACTCCTGCAATCATCATCCTCAGTTGTAGTTATAGTCTGGGATAGAGTCTCCTGAAATATAGATAAACGCATATATAAATATATTATACACTTTTGAGTTTATGACAGAATTAATGTTGTACTTACACATTGTTCAAATACTTGTTGAACTTCTTCTTGAACGACTTCATCTCTTCCCATACGGGCAGCCTTCCACAAAACATGGTCCGGAAGAGATGTTGCACCACTTTTCTCCTCTTCTAACTACACATTAAGACAGATAATAAAGCATTCATATCCCATTATATATACTTACTATTTTTCGTAACTATATCATATTAAAGTATTTATATATACTTACTATTTTTTGTTGTAAGCGTGCATATCCCAAACGCCATTTTTTGTATGGATAGGTGGGTTTTGATGCCCGTTGCCGATTTACGTCACTCACAACCTGAAAAAACAAGTTTAAGTCATATCAGAACTATTGTGGAAGAAGTATATATATATATATTATACTTTGTTCATGATAAGTTATACTTACATGGAATTCTTTGGTTCTTCGCTTGGCAACAAATGTCTCCCATTCTTCATCTGAAATCAGATCAACATACTTCTTTGGACACTCTGATTCGACAAAGTTTCCATCAAAACCTTTAAGAAACATGTTCGTTAAAAACGCTCTAAATCCTCTCAGTCGTTTTTCGGCCAATTGAAGACAATATTTTCTCCTGCAATCATCAATATCAAAAGATCTCTGCAAACAAATAAACATACATATAATATGTTAGTATAACTAATTTAAAGACATAACCGTCGACATAATTAAAAAATATCAAATATCATACTTGTATCTTGCTCCAAATTTTGTCTTTAGCCGGGTGTAACGAAGGAATTCTCCAATTATCGCTAGTAATTGGAATTTGTGAACGAACAAGTG